GCTTCCTGGCGCTGCCTGAACTCACCTGACTTCAGCCACAAACTCTATCACCCCTCATTAGCTGGTGAGCATGCTGGTTCCAGAAGCTGTATGAGTTGCTCCAATGTCCCCCATGGTAGTAACAAAACAAGGATTAGACCCAGGATTGTTTGAGGCCAAAGCCCCTATTCTTCCCACTCTGCCAAGCTGCTTCCCACATTTTTATATGGAAGGAAGGTAAACAATAAGGAAGGAAGGTTAAGAAAGAAGTTGGCGGTCACTGTTTCCTATATTGGTGTCACAAAACATTTTTTTGTTCCCAGCTCCATTTATAGAGAAGGTGGTTGTCCCAGGGGCCATTGTTAAGGACAGCTTTATCTAAATTCATAAAATGTCAGGAATCTGCGCTTTTCTTGGTATACCCCTCCCCAATTTTGTCATTTCTGCCACTGTAGTCACTATGGACCATTCTTGCCTCCCTTAACATTCACATCTTCCTGTGATTTATAATATTGAGGCCCGACCTCTATTAATGGGCCTTACCAGTGAGGACAGATGAGTGTATGCCAAGATTCACCAGCAAACTCTGAGTTTTGTATTTGTTTTTTAAAAAACAATAAATTCACTACCTTGGGTATAAAACCAGAAGAATTCTTCCCTAATTGCTGACATTTTGGGGATTCCTTCATCCGTTCCACATACCTCATCACCACGGTCCAAACACTTTTTCCTTTCTAAGTGCCTCATTCCACCTTCCGCTTGCACCTGTGGCTAGTGGTCACCATACTGGACCACACGTACCAGACCGTCTGGCTTTGGGCACCCTAACTTGCTTGATCTGCCCTTCTTTGCTCAGATTTCTCTACTCTGAAAATAAAAGGAAGTGTTGCTTGATGCTCCTCCCTCTAAGTGACCATCGTACTGCCTGACATCACCCAACCTCCCAGGGGACTCATACTCACATTCTAGCATCCCTCCAGTCTCCCGCACAGCAGGTGCTCTGCGAAACCGCGCTCAAAAATACTAGTGACCTCCTGTCTTTCAGACCTCAAGGTCTTTTCTCAGTGTCCACTCCTCATAGCCTTATGCTGCCTGGAACTCTTTTGTCTGGGGAACGTGCTGGAATGTGTTAGCGGGTTTCCTCCCATGTCTGCCACTGTGCTTTTCAGCCAGGCTTAACTATGATTGCTCTCTCAGGGTCTCTCTCTGCTCTGTCTTATCTGGCAGATATCTCTTCTCTGGGGATGCCACCTAGATCTCTGGGGTCCAGTCCTGACTTTTCTCTGTAGTATCAGCCCCCCATTTTCAGCATCTGTCTGACTCTTTAACCTCTTCCTGAATAACTCCTTTCTTATGATCTTCCCTGGACCTCCAATGGAATATGGCCAAACAGAACTCATCATCTCTCTCTTCGCCGTCCCTATTTCTCTTAATAATACCACCTCAAGTCAAAGGCTTGACCTTTGGCTTCTTCCCTCTCACAGTCTCACTATGACATGCTGCCAGATCCCACTCGACTTCTACTAGGAGAAGTCCAGACCTTCGCTTTCCATCTCTTCATCCTCATCACTACTGTTGACTTCAGCTACTCGATACCCCTTGTCTAATGTTATAACAGCTTCCCAGCAGGTCTTTCCAATCTGTCCTGAGTGTAGCTAACTGATGAATCATTCTGGTACTCTTGACCTTTCTGACGTGTTCCCATTGCTCACTAAAAAGTCCCACATCCTTGGCACCCAAGGTGTCCACCGTCTGTGGTCTGTGGTCTGTGGTCATCATCTCTCCCCTCCCTGTGGGGTCTACTCTCCTGGGCTGGACCTGCAGGAGGGTGCTTGCAGGTTCCGTGAGAATTTTGTTTCTTTAAAAAAGCATCTTGAGGGGAAGGTATAGCTCAAGTGGTCGAGCACATGCTTAATATGGATGAGGTCCTGAGTTCAATCCCCAGTACATCCTATAAATAAAAATCAATGAATAAACCTAATTACCTTCCCTCACCAAAAAAGAAAAAAAAATCTGTTTCAAAGACCTAAACTTAGGAGCTAAAACTGTAGACATCTTAGAGATGGCATCTGTAAGTTACTCCTGCATTAGAAAAAAAATCCTCTAGCCAGTGTCACAGCTAGGGTATAAAAATAATTCTGTAACTGCTCCCTCTTTTCCTTTGCTCATGCTGATTTCTGAACCTGAAAATAATCTGTTCCTGATTTTTCACATCTAAATCCTCTCTGTAATCCAGATTCCTCACTGAGTCATCCTTGATTCCTCCAGCTCCAGTATAGCAGGGATAACTGTATTTATATTACAACTGCTTACTTGCATAACTGTTGCCCTCCAGGCTGGGAGTTTCTTATGGGCAATGTCAGGGTCTTTGTTACAAGGGACAAAAATAAACACCATAATGCTTGACACATGGAAGCTATTCAATAGAATTTGAATGTAAATGAATGAAAGAAAAAAGATTCATTCGTTCATTCTTGCCTAACTTTAAATTGCTTAAGAGTAGGATTAGGGTCTGATTCATCTTAACATGCTACTGTAGCTACAAGTATGGTGCTTTGTGCAGGATCGATACTCAGTAGCTATTTTGGGTTTTTTTTTCCAGCTTTATTGAGGTATGACTGACACATACAATTTTAAGACACGTAAAGTGTACATCATTGTGGTGATTTGATAATATACATCATGAAAGGATTCCCCCTCATCTGGTTGGTTAACACATCCATCACCTCACATACTTCTTTTTATGTGTGTGTGAGAACATTTAAGTTCTACTCTCAGCAAGTTTCAATTATGTAATAACTACTTGAATTAGTGGATAGATGAGTAGTTGATTATGAGTTTTCTGAATGCTATATTACTATATTTAAGTGCTCTTACTACAGCTGAAATATTTTAAAAACATGTTGCTCTTCAGAAACTAATACAACATTGTAAATCAACTATACTTCAATTAAATTAAAAAATATTGTTCTTTTGTTGTCACTGTTAATTTTTATCAGTGGTTATTTTTGACTTTAAGCTTTTTCAGCAGTCTTAATTTTGATTTTAACAAATTATAATCATTGGGGAGGGGTGTATTAATTTCACAAAAGGAGTTAGAAAGAAAAAGTTTCACCTTTTATTGAAGTATAGTGTATTTACAATGTTGTGTTAGTTTCTGGTGTATAGCATAGTGATTCAGTTAATATATATATATATTCTTTTTCAGTATAGGTTATTACAAGATATTGAATATAGTGCCCTGTGTTATACAGTAGGACCTTGTTCTTTATCTATTTTATATATAGTAGTGTGTATATGTTAATCCCAAACTCCTAATTTATCCCTCCCCCACCTCCCTTTCCCCTTTGGTAACCATAAGTTTGTTTTCTATGTCTGTGAGTCTGCTTCTGTTTTGCAAATGAGTTCCTCTGTATAATTTTTTAGATTCCACATATAAGTGATATATGGCATTTGTCTTTCTCTTTCACTTAGTATGATAATCTCTAGGTCCATCCATGTTGCTGCGAATGGTATTTAGTTCTTTTTTTATGGCTGGGTCATATTCCATTGGATATATACCACGTCTTCTTTCTCTAATCCTCTGTTGATGGACATTAGGTTGTTTCCATGTTATGGCTCTTGTAAGTAGTGCTGCTGTGAACATTGGGGTGCATGTATTTTTTCAAACTAGAGTTTTCACCAGATATATGCCCAGGAGTGGGATTTCTGGATTATATAGTAACTCTAGTTTTAGTTGTTTAAGGAATCTCCGTACTGTTTTCCATAGTAGCTGTACCAAATTACATTCCCACAGAAAGTTCACTTCTTAAGAAAAATGTGAAGAGCTTTTCTATTATTGGCTCCTGGTTCTGGGTGTGGGTAAGGTTCTAGGACTAACAATTACTTCTACAATAGTAGTTGAATATAGTTCTTTCCAGAGTCATCATGGCTCTGTCCAGAGACATGTAATTTGAATGCTTTCCATGGGAAACAGAGTTGGGCAGCCTTTATTAAAACACTCCAGGGAGGGGGAAAGTCCTTAAACTCCAGTTAAGTTGAACTAAGTTCTTCTGCTCCTGTCAATACGAGGAGGCTAACATTCTTCTCCTTCTCCTTCTCCTTCCCCTTCCTCCTTTTCCTCTTCCTCCTCCTCCTCCTCTTTCTTCTTTTGTGAGGGCTGTCTGCTGGTCTTCTGACAGCCATCTCTGACAATAATACTCGATTATGATCAATGAGTTAACAGTATTTGCTTTTGGTCATGTTCACTGACGCAATCCCAAATAATAATGAAATTAAAAGAACTGAGAAATACTGGTGATCCTGTGGGTCTTTTGACCCCTATTGCCTGAAGGTCCATTGTTGTTGTTGTTATTTGGGGTTGTTTGTTTGCTTGTTTTATCTTCATCTCTTTTAAAACCAACCGACAAGAATAACCTTGGTTCAAGTGATTTGGTGGAAAAGATAACAGATGCCTGTGTGTGCTTCTCTGGTGGCATCATTTTAATTACCTGTGAGAGGAAGAGCCATAGCCCATATCAAACGAGCGAGCTAGCTGTGGAGTACCTAGATGCTTACACCTTGCAATGAATACTTACTTACAGGAGGGTAAGCAGAGTCTGGAAAAGCAGGTCAGAGGATCTAAGAAAAGAAATTTGCTTTTAGGAAATGCTACAAACTTATTGGAAACAAGAGAATTTTTCCAGTGTATTTAGAAGAAAAATCCAGGGTCCGCTGAAATGTACAAAATAGAAACAGCAGACTCCCTCTTTACAAAATATGGGGTCATTGGGTACTGTACCCTCCCCCAGAAGGATTCGGTTCTTTAGAAATGAGCAAAGCATTTGCTGTGACAGGCCATCTGAAACAACTCATTCACCATCCACTGGACATTATGGGAATCCTCAGTCTCGAGAGCGGGAAACTTCCACCCTTTTGAGCCAGTGTCAAGACTTCGGAGCAGTCCTACATATCCGTCAGATATGCTGACGCCTCAGCTTATTTGAAGCAATTAACTTGTTTCGCATTTTTGTCTCCTTCAGAAATGTACACGCCTGAGTATGCTAAATGCCTGTGAGCTCCCAGATCCTCCTGCGACTTTGGAGAGACTCAGAGAAGGAAGGAGCGGGAGTGGCGGACTCTGAGAACAAGCTCCTCCCCCTCGGCCTCGGCCTTCCTGCTCACAGCCCACGATGGAGACGCTCTCCCAAGATTCTTTGCTGGAATGTCAGATCTGTTTCAATTACTACAGCCCCCGGCGAAGGCCCAAGTTGCTGGATTGCAAACACACCTGCTGCTCGGTGTGCCTTCAGCAGATGAGGACGAGCCAGAAGGACGTACGGTGCCCCTGGTGCCGGGGCATCACCAAGCTGCCCCCGGGCTTCTCTGTGTCCCAGCTCCCCGACGACCCCGAGGTCCTTGCGGTCATCGCCATCCCGCACGCCTCCGAGCACACCCCAGTCTTCATCAAACTTCCCAGCAATGGGTGCTACATGCTGCCCCTGCCCATCTCCAAGGAGCGCACGCTGCTGCCCGGAGACATGGGCTGCCGCCTGCTGCCCGGCAGCCAGCAGAAGTCCGTCACCGTGGTGACCATCCCAGCCGAGCAGCAGCCTCTGCAGGGCGGGGCCCCGCCCGAGGCGGTGGAGGAGGAGCCGGACAGGCGGGGCGTGGTGAAAAGCTCCACCTGGTCTGGGGTGTGCACTGTGATCTTGGTGGCCTGCGTCCTGGTCTTCCTGCTCGGCATCGTGCTCCACAACATGTCCTGCATTTCTAAGCGCTTCACTGTGATATCCTGTGGCTGAAGAGGGCTACAGGGAAGTGTCTCGTGGGTGCCAACTAGGGGTTGAGCAGGTGTTGGTGATGGATCGCGTTGAGAAGATGGGGGGCGACGCTGATCATTGGGTGCCGAGGACTGGCTTCTGGGCTGCCACTTGATTAACCGCAGACAGACACGGAAGGCAGAATGTGAGGTCTCAGCAAGACACCAGGCAGATCGCTCTGATTATTGGTGGCAACAGCTTTGAAGACGATTGCATGCATCTTCATAATCATGTATTAAATGGACTGTAATTTATGATTTCTAAATCACGTTATGAGATAGACATATTCTACTTAGACATTAAACTGTGGAAGTGCATACAATGTGATCTTCTCTAAATGTGGTAGATTAAAACAAAGATGCTATGTATCCAAGTAGAATTAAACCTGAGAATCCCTGTAAAAATTCAGCCATGACATGCAGTGCTGATTTCTTTCTTTCTTTTTAAAACATGAAACCCCGTCTTCATTCAGCTGCTAAGGCCTTTTATACTTTCTGAATGGCACCCAAATTAAAATAAGTTAAGCGGACAGTTGTTTTTTGAAGAAAATATCTGAACAAATGTTTCCAGTGTGTTGTGTTTTGTCATGTATTTAATTTTCCTTCCCTTGTAATTAGAGCTTGATATGTGTTTATTAAACTGAAAGCCCAACAGGGGAGCAATAAACTGAGTAATAATGAGGAATGTCTAATCCCACAGGAAACCTACATGCCAATTTCTCTCAAGCCATCTCACAAAATAAGAATTTTAAATGTAAATAATGTGTATTTGTGTGTGTGTGTGTGTATGTGTGTGTGTGTGATTTGATTTACCTCAGTTTTGGAATCTTTTCAGAAGAATCGTGGTAGTGAGACTTTGTGGGGCATGAATGAATCCGGGGTCTGAAACAGTGACCACCTCATGGGCACTGGGACCCACCCTGTGAAGTGTCACATACACGTCCCTTCCAAACTTGCTCCTCTTCTATGTGGTCAAGTCCTGTATTCTATAAGGCACAAATGGAGAGTAACAGAAGATTCTGTCTTTTCTCTCAATTTTGATGTATTGTAGTAGCCATGAGTGTTGGTAACCAAGGACCAATCTGGACTGGCATTTTAAGACAGTCCGTGCTTACTTTTTTGAAAGAGGTTGTTCCATGAGAGTTAAACCATTGAGAATTCCAGTTTCCTCTTGTTGGTACAAGTGGAGACTATCTCTTGTAGTTCAAAATACGTTTTTATTGAGAAAAATGACAAGACAAACTAGCAACTCACTAGCAACTCCGAATTTAAGTGGACCAGTTCATCATAAATTCTCAAATATTCTTAAATGTGTAATGGCCTAGAGATGCTTACAAAGAAAGATCTGCTGGTTTTAAATGATAAATTTCTGTACCTGAATGTGTGTGTGTTCAGCCATAGCTGTGAGCTTTACAGTTGTCTGCTAGCTTTCTTTATGGAATTCATGAAGTAAGTGGTATGTGCCAAGGCCCCCTACTCAAATATATGTTTATGTTTCATTGGATCCATGAAAATAGGGGAAAGAAAAGCAGAGATGGTTCTAAGAATTAAGGCTAGAAATAGCCCTGTAAGACTGAGATAATTTAATTTACTTATATGCTAACTATTTTACCTTCAAGCAGCACAAAATATGCACATAAAGTGATGCAGTTAATGTGAGATAAAATGACAATATAATGAATAGAATCCCAAGCTAACCCTGATCATTGGCATGAGGATTCGATATAAAAATATGAACTCGGGTTTTTTCAAATCTTTCAAATTCATCATTAGACCTTTAGGAAATGTATCTGAAAGCTCAAACTAGAAATTAGGTTAAAATGCCATTTTATTGTGTAAGCTATTGGGCGTTATCCATCAAATAATCTAGGATTTATTTGGTATTAATAATTTAGGTATCATATTAGCTGAATACTATCCTCTATTACGTAACCTAATATACTGTTGGGTTAGTTTCAATTTCTCAAACTCTCCCAGGCTGCCGTGATGCATGTCTGACCTAATTTCTGTTCCTCTTTGAAAAAAACAGAAATGTTACATTAAGAATGCTGCATTTCAAATGGACTCTGCCCTTGCAATATTGTCATGCCATATTCAAATTAATTTTGTGAATGACATTTACATATGTTTATGTCCAGGATGAAATGACCAGCCCTGGAGTGTAGTGTGTGATAGAATTCTGTGTGTTCTGTAGGTCATATATAGACACTAACATATGTGTGTTTCTTAGTGCAAAGCCGTGGAGTACAAATGTCCACGTACCTTTTACTTAAAAACAATCCCGTGCTAGAGCTGCAGTTAGGCAGTGCAGAATTAATTGGCTCTGTGATAGATTCTTGGTGTTACAATTTAAGGTACAATAACAAGCAAAATCAGAATTTTTTGTGTGAGTCTCACTGATGTAAGAACCATTGTTCAAGTGGATTCTGCCTGCAGTTAATTCATTTGTGTACCTGCTTGTCAGGGTGTGCATTCCATGCACACGTGCGTGCATGTGTGTGTGATGTCTCAGCCTGCTGGAAAGAATTTTTATAGACAATGATGTTTAATGTTATTTGGCATCCCATTGTTCTGGCCCCTTTGGCATTTATCCATGACACTAACAACTCATCTACCCCACGTGATGCAAGTCCAGTGACACAATCGGCCAGAATTCACAGTTGCACATCAGTGAAAAAATCACAACTGAAAGCACAGAAAGTTAGAGCTGAAAACAACCTCTGGTGGCTTCATTTTGTAGGTGAGTCCACTGGGGCCCACAGAGGTGCGAGGCAGTTTGTCATTCTGTGGCAAAAGGAGGACCATAACTTAGCACTGTGGTTTCCTCTTGCTTCTTCCTAGGCCTGTCGACATCTCTGTCAGGCGATGATCTTTTTCAGGGTGGATGAATACCCTTTACTAACTCAACTATCATTTAAGTTTTTTGTTTTTGTAAATTTATATGTTCATCTTAGTTAGCATCTACCTCTCTGGGAAATGAAAGGAGGATTAATTTAGGGATGAATATAGACTGTTAAAGAAAATCATATGATTTGACTTTTTAAAATTGCAAAACATTGGTTTCCCACCCCCCTCCCTTTAGATGTAAAGGACGATGAGTGTTGTGTAAATAGTAAACTACAAGAAGCATGATTTTTCAACTTTATTAATGATCTTGACATAAGCAAGAGAATGCTGAATTTGCTAAGCAGAGCCAGCTATGCTATCAAAAGTATTGTCTTTGGAAAATTTTTTCATAATGACCTGGGGCATACATTGTGATGAAAAGGCAAATGGTTCTCAGTTCTAGTCTTTATGATCAGGAAGCTATAAAGTATTTTCTTTAGGAATATAAAGAAGTTGACTCTTGCACATGACTTAAGAGCAGTTGGTCCCTTGAAGGTTAAACCACGTGCTGGTGCAGCCCTTGGGATCCTCTAGATTGGCGCTGTTCATTAGAACTTTCTGTGATGGTGGAAATGTTCTATGACGTATGTTGTCCAATACAGTAGCCATATTGGCTAGTGGGCAATTGAAATGGGATTGGTCTGAGTTGGGAACTGGATTTTGTATTTTATTTAATTTAAAGCTGTTTAAATAAATGTCACACGTGGCTAGTGGCTACTGAACTGGATGGTGTACTTTGCAGGCTTGTGCAATAGGTGTTAATGGAGTTCAGAGTAAGATAAAGAAGACAGTTTGTGGTTTAGTAATACGCAGTTGGCTTAAAAAATTTTTTTTGTCCTTTCTGGGCTTAAAAAATATATGATCTCAAGTATGACGGTAAAAATGCATTGATTGCCCTTTGGGGTTATTACTTAGATGCTCTGGGCCGAGGAATGATCAATGAAGCTTAAAGAGTGCTTGATAAAGCCCCTTTCCTGGGATCATTAGCTGCATGTGAATCTATTGTCCAAAAATAGTAGTTAGACTGTAGCTGTAAAATGTTTGACTTGCATGACCTGTACTGTGAAATTGTGTTTAGGGTCTTGTGGCCAAAAAGTAAATGTTACAGAAAAAAAAAGCCTAATGAAATTCCTCTTCACTTCCAGCATCTTACCCAAACTTCATCACTGCGTTAGTAAGGTGTGAAATGTAAGAGCAAGCATGTTTTGCAGTGTTCATAGGGAATGTTTCTGTTTGTCCTTGAAGTCTGACAGCTTGTCATTGTATTTGGGGGTAGGCATATGTGGGCATCATTTTTCAGATGCCAGACTAATACATAGGTACTATTTTTAGAGTGAGATTTGACATTGTTTTAGTCTTGCTTGGTTTTTTTATTTTAGTTATCACTGAAAGAATTGAATATTTGAAGCCTTGCACAAAGACACTTTTTTACATTAAAAAAAACATTGCCCATGGAATTTAAAGACTTGAAGGTTATTAAAGTTACTAAAATTGCTTTTTTAAGCAAGTAAAGGGAAGCAGAAAATTCAATTCGAGATGTATTTTCATAGAAAGATCAGACTCTTCTTGATAGTACAGTATTTATTCCAGTCTAGATTTTGATTTGAAAACCTATGCTGTGTCTAAATTGGTTAGTCTGCTTTTCATTGTCTGAAAATAACAAACCAAATGCATTTACTTCAATTTGCAGAATTAGGTTGATTTTTTTAAAAAAACAACTAGTCAATGGGCATGACTCTTCTTTTTAGCTTGTACTTAAAAATGATCTAAAAATTTTTTTTTGCCAAATGATAGTTTTTCTTTAGACTTAAGAGGAAATTAAAGGTCCAATGTTTATTGGTAGAGGAGAGATATGCAAATGGTCTGAATTTCTATCTCCTCTTAGAAAAATGCTACCAACTAGTCAGCATTTTGTTTTCACATAAGAACTGTCATCAGTCAGTTGATGTGTCATCCTTGACCTAGAAGGAGAGGCTGTTCCTTGCCATTTCCATCATTCTCAGTAAAATGTTACCCATAAAGAATTTCTTACCAAAACAGAAACTCCAAAGAAGAATGAGACAGTCAAGATAATTCAGTAACTGTTTTGAAAGTGGTAGTCTATTTCAAAATCGATGATGATCAGTTGCTGATTTGTTAAACATGAAACACTTCTTTTAAAAAAGTGGAAACTCAAGCCATTGTTTTTGTTGACACAACTCACTGTATATAGATATATCTATATCCATATAGATATAGATATATATGTAGATACACACCATTTAGCTATAATTGAAGTTGAAAAATTAAGTAAAAATGTTAGTCATGTTTTCCAATGTGGGTTATACAACGTTGAATTTAGATGTTAATTTCTTAACAAATGCTACAGGTTGCATCCATTTTGTCAAACCAACCAGCTTCGAGAGTGTCTATATAACTTAGCTCTCGAGACTTTTCAAGTATGAAGGAGTAGGTTCTACCGTATACATTTTGTTGGAAACCATTAGTCATTGAAGAACATTAGCAGGTGGGGCATTTAATTTCTCTCTTCCAAATGACTTTTTTTTTTGGCTCTGCTCAAGTGGTTGTGGGTAGAGCACCATTATTCTTGAACTCTTCCAATATGGCTCCGATATTTTCTGCACAAGTTTCCTGGCACGATCGGGCCAATGTTTTTCCTTTTTTTTCAGGATTCACTGCCTGGGGTATCCCACTATATAGATATATCTCATTTATGATGTAGTGGTGCTTGAAAACACTCATCTTGTTAGCTGGACTTTATTATTCTGGTCTAAGGTTTTTGATACTATTCATATTATGATCTTTTTAGAGACAATCAGTAATATTTGGGGCAAAATACTGAGCGGTCTCTTGGAGTCTGCAACAGCATGTATTTTCTTTGTTTTTCTGGGGGGTGTTCTCTGATAGTTGGCTTGTTATTCTAGAACACTGCTCTAAATTCATCACCACAGGATGTAGGGCTAGTAGCCCATGGGAAAATCTGCTGTGATCTCCCTGGGGTGTGTTATTGGATTATTCAAACAAGAGTTTTCCAAAGGGAAGCTCAGATTTTAATTTGACATTTGCTTTTTGAGACTCTAGTTGTAGACCATTGGATATGATGGCAGTGAAAAAGCACAGGCTGTAAGAAGAAGGAAATAGATGAGGCAAATTGCCCTTAAAAGGGAACAAGTTGATGTCTATATCACCACTATTTAAATAGTAGGAGGACACGATAGCTGGTGTTTTACACTGTGCTTCAGAAAGTTCCTGGTTGGATTTTCCTGGCTGAGAGACAACCCAGCTCTTAGGTAGATCCTGTATGGTAGAGATGGAGACGTGGCCTTGGGTCGATAGCAACAGATAGCAGATATGCCCAGAGAGTGAGAAAATATTGCATAAAGGGAGGGAAATCCATAATGAGATTATAGCTTCAAAACAAAACATATAGGAGCTGAAGGTCAATCACTGCAGAAACCAGCTGAAGACAGAAACATGGGACAACTGGAAATAACTTAGCCAAGCACAATGTGTCATTCCAATATGGCTCACCAAATTCAGTTCAGGATGTTTCAGCTGAAGACATAAAGGGAATGCGCTCAGCTAATGAGAGGGTCCAGGGAGGCCCCATTGGGTTGTCAGCACACTAGAGAATTTCAGAACCTACTCTAGAGTTGGTTGCTGAGTCATTACAGACAAACTCTAAAGATGTCCTCTTAACCATGAAATGCAATGCCTGTGCCTGTGGATGTATCCTGACTTGAGTAGGTTGATACTAGTGGGAAGACTCGTTCAAGAATATTTTGGTCCTGTCCTGCTTGTGCTCATTTATTCTAATTTTCTATTCCACTACTTGTTCCTGTTTGCCTCTTTTGACAGGTGCAGGCGGGGAGGTTGGTTTCAGTTTGCAGCGGTTGCAAACTCCCAACGTAAGCAGCTGCAGCACAGGGTCCCTGCTGTTCTGACGGCTCCACTGGTGGGTTCCCTGGCCCTCTTGATAACTAATACTCCAGTCAAATGGCTAGATTAATGCTGCTCAGAGGCTGTTAACTCAAGTCCTTGACATGTTTCATTTACAATTATGTGGATTATTTATTTCCAAAGCTTTTCTTTTAAAGGGCCAAATAGCCCTACAGATAAATGAGCTGCCGGGCTGTGTAGTAAATATTGTTCAAATGTTGCCAAATATTGACTTCGTAAGGGGGATGTCAAGCTGCTGTTTATAAATCTGAATGTCTTAAAAGCATTCTTGCTTGCTCTCTCTGTTGTAGATGGTGTCTTAGCAAGTCCTGAGTTTTCCAATGAACCCAATTTTAATATATGGTATTTTTGTATGCCAAACTGGTGTCTCGTCCTTTGTATATGTGGTAATGTTGATTTTATGACTACTGTTAAAACACATTTGCTATGATTAAAATTCATAAAATGATTTCAAATAGACTCATGCATTGGCTTTCTTCCCCTCCCTGCCCCTACCAGTGAAGAGAAAAAAACTGGCTGGAATTTTCATCACCAGAGACTCTAAGAATTTTAATAGACTTGGGTAATAAAGCAACAAGGAACTTCTGAGCCAAGGATTTTAAGTGGAGGTGACCTTCAAGTGGCTCCTCTAAGAAGCCAAAGAACTCATTTGTAATGAGTAAGCCCAAGCATGCTTTTGCAGTTTGGGTTTTTGTGGCTTCTGGTGGTCCTACCTTCATCCTCTCCCATTTAGAAATGATGCTGTGGGTGTCAAGCCCCAGGTGAACCATCTCTACGCACCTTGTGCAGAATGATTTCAAGCAGGTCCCTGTGTAAGTGAGAAGTACCACAACCTGGCCTCTTGGCTCTGCGTCTGGAAAGGTATCCTTCAACACACGTTTTCATTAATGGGACAGAGGGCATTTGGGGAGCCTTTTTTGATAAAAACATCCCATCTTTCAATGACTCTGAATCACATCAACGAATTTCAATTCAGCTGAGCAAGTGGCCTAATCCTAATTAAGGGGTTATCAATGATCAGATACGCATGGATACCAGTGTTAGCGTGCCCTGGCTCTCCCAGGGAAATTAAAAACAACCCCTGTGGTTGTAAACCTGAGAGGTCACTGTGATTCAGTATGCATTTCTTGTACCAGAAAAGCAAGCTTTTTATTAGGGGGTCCAGATTTTTGGAAGTATGAAATGTATTTAGCATGTTTTAGGATTTCTGGTGTGTATTTCCCTGCTCTCAAAGAGAGAGAGAGAGGGAGAGAGAGAGAGAGAGAGAGAGTGTGTGTGTGTGTGTGTATTAGGGGGCCAGGTTGGAATTCTCTTATTAGAGCTGCTTGCTCTTGCTTAAGCTTTTCTATCAGCTAGAGAGAGATTTGACTCAAAGAAGGTGTGTTTGTTTGTTTGTTTTTAAATGGTCTCTCTTCCAGGAGGTCAGCCAGGGCAAAGGAGAGGGGATCCTGGGAGAGCCTTCCATGGGCATCTTGCCTGGGGTAACACACATTGGCAACCTCCTCAGATGACACTCTGTTTGGATGGCCAGTTGTCTGCCAGTGAGTGTTGGGCTGGAAGGAGAGGATGAGTCTGTGGCACAGCTAAGATCTTTGCCATTCCGGCCCCGCCCTGCAAAGGAGGACTGAGTGTGAGCAGTTGAAGGTCCCAGGGCGATAGTGGGGGTGTGGAGGGAGTAAGTGGAGCCAGGCCTGGTGTCCACTGCGTGCCACCCTCACCCGCAGTCCTTACACACATATGCCCTCTGAGTACGTAGATGAATTTCCTGAAATGAAACCTGTCTATCTGCCAATGCGTTGTTTTTCTTAATGCTTTTGTTTCCAGCGGTCATTCTTGGAAGAGGAACCGGGGTCCAGTGTCCACAACACAGCACTGGGCCTGGGCAGACAGCAGTCGGGGGGAGGAGGAAGGGATCCTAGAATTAGCCTGACCCTCTGCTTTTCTTTTTATAGGCTTGAAAACTTTTGCACAATCTTGGTTGACCCAGAAAACGATACTGCTGTAATTGGATTCAGTCCCTCTCATTCCTCAAACCTGCTGCTGACTACATTTCCCCATCTCTCTTCTCACGATTATACTTGATATATGATAGTCTTTATTATTATTATTTGCAAGAGTAAGTAGATATTTAGATGTGTGTGTGCGTGTGTACACACATACATGTGAATATTTCATAGATTCTTAGTATAGATTTTTTTTAAGGTTGAAAGAATGAGAAAGATCAGAGTAAAGTACTCAGATTTGGCTACAAAGATAAAATCATGAGAGAAATTAGGGAGAAAGAGGCTCCCCTTCAACCCCTCATTCCTTCGCTCAGAGTTCCCGCTGACTGATCGCCATGTACCAGGGCTGCTAAGACAAATACGATGGAAACAGGCCTTGTCCTTGTAGGAAAGATGGGCATTAATAAATAAACAATGCTCACATCCAGTGCACGTGCTGTCTGAATGCATGTAACAGGGACGTGGGTGGGCTAACCTGGCGGTGCGGGGTAGGGGATGTAGTGGGAAAAGGTTTTCTGGAGAAAGTGTTTTCTAGGCTAAGATCTGACGGATAAATTGGGGTCAGTGAGGACCATTTGGGGAAACACTTTCAAGAAGGGACAATAAGAGACAAAGGAGGTATGAGGATGGAGACAGAGCTGGCTTTTCTTGTCCAGCCCCCTGCCGTCCCACCACGGTTGTTGATATTTCTACGTGACTCCCCAGGCCCCAAGAATGTCCACAAAGGAGCACCTGACAGAAGCACAGCTATGGGTCTGTTTCCCCGGTAGGTGTTTTCATCAGCCGGCACCGTGTGCCAAGCAGGCTCCATGGTCTCCTCCTTGTACTGACATAGCACACGCTCATGTTCCCCTGCCCACGCCACGAGCAGAGGAAGAGGCCCTGGGATCCTGTGTCTCCAAACGTGGGCTATTTGTTTATGAATCAAATGGATTCAGAGTCTGATGTTGCTGACAACCTCTGTCTAAGGTTAGGGTTGAGAAAAGCATTTCTCCAGCTATATTTTGAGAGATTAATAGGTGGTTATATGAAAAATGTTTTGTGATTGAATAAACTGAGAAAATGCTGAATTAAACAGGTTTTTTTTAAACTGTAGAACTTTTCAGAGCATTTAGCCTGTGTGTTAGTTCTCTAGAGAAACAGAATCTGTGTGTGTGTATTTTCTTTTTTTCTCTCTTTTTCTTTCTCTCTCAGTTTATATATACAACTATGCATGTCCCTTTCCTCAACTTATCTGAGTAAAGAATTCATTATTTGCCGAGCATCTATTAACATCTGGTAGAACACCATCTGGGGAATATTGACCTTGAAAATGATTCACAATTTTGACTTACCCCACATTAATCAAAATCTGGCCTCCCCAAAATTCATTAAGTGTTTATTACTCTGTAATAAGATTAAACCATTAGCTCATATGTTTGCTTTTTAATTTTAAAATTATCATGCAAATGGAAAATGATCCAATACTGTGTTAGACTAACCTTGATGGTATGTTGTAAATACTTTGTGTGCTGAAATTCCATGTACTGCACACATACTACCAACGAAATATTCTCACATTAGCAAATCATGGCGGGGGGGGGATATGTGCACATTTGCTTTGGTAATAAGAGTCTGGATGATTCATACTTGAACACAGTGCATAGATACCAGAGATGTTTTGGAAATGTATAGCCTAAAAATTCATAAATATTCATTACTACATACTATAGGGCTAAATACAACCCACAACAAACTAAATTGATAATCATGAGCAAAACCAACAATAATTTGCTACTAAGAAGCAAGAAGAGCAACAATGAAAAAACATGATCATTCAAGGCAGTACTGATGGTGAATACATCTCCTCCCCGCAAATTGTAGGTGTGCAATTATTTGCATATGCACACGTGCAGCAGGAGCTACACATGTTAATAAAATACTGAATTGGGGCCATGCATAAACTCACTAAACTCTAAAACACTAATTTTAGCTTAAATATACCAAACTTGGCAAAACATATGTAGGCAGTCATTAATGAGTAGATCTCATTCAGGCATTTAAGAAAAAGTTTTGGGGTTGGAGGGGGGCAACCCATTTGGAAGAACTACTGGCCCCCCAGTGGGCAGACAGCCACACTTTGAGAACCACTGTGTAGGGAATTAGGCAAACAAAGGAATTTACAAGCATATGCAAAACACAGAAATTAAAAATAAATTATTTTTCCATTTCGTAGAACATCATTTTAATAGAAACATAAATTTTATGGAACAAAATCAATAGTTGTAGTATAGTAGTCCCCCTCCTTATCAGCAGGGGATGCATTCCAAGACCCTCGGTGGATGCCTGAAACCGCGGATATTAACAAAACCTATATACCGTACGTTCTTTCCTATACATACATACCTGTGATAAAGTTTAATTTATAAATTAGGTGCTGTAAGAGATTAACAGCAACTAATAATAAAATAGAATAATTATAACAATATACTGTAATAAAAGTTATGTGAATGTGGTCTCTCTCTCTTAAAATATCTTATCGTACCAAGTTAATGTCTTTTCCCTCTTGACTAAGCACTTACCCAGCACGGTGGCTGTAACTTTTGTAGTTTGAGGTGTGGTAGCAAAATTAACACAGATTTCTTTTTTCTCTACAATTTCACGGGTAGAAGATTTATTCTTACCACTGATCTTAGCAAGCTGAGGATATGATTTTTTTTTTCTTGAAGTTGAGAACTTTCATCTTTTCACTTAATAGAAGCACTTTATGGCTTCTCTTCGGTATATCTGAATTGTCAGCATCACTGTTCGTGCACTTGGGGGCCATTATTAAGTAAAATAAGGTTTACTTGAACACAAGCACTGTGATACCATGACAGTTGATCTGATAACTGAAACGGCTCCTGAGTGACTTAAAGGGCGAGGTACACTGGACAAGGGGATGATGACTTTCGTTGTGGTACCACTGACAGAGGAGATCCTGATGATGCTTCCTGGGATCTATCCCCGCGGGCTGAGATCGCTCCATGATTTGCACTCGCCATTGCATCCAGAGCCCAGTGGAATGATCGAAGCCCCATAAGGACTGGCTGAATGGAAGAGTCTGTGCGTCACCCTGTCTGCCGAGATTACTCAGCCACGTTAGGCTCTGACACTTTTCAAATACCCGAGGAGGTTGGGCCCTCTCCTTTGCAGATCTCATCACTTTCTGCACTTAGATTCTTGCTATTGCTGTGGGGAATCGTTAGCTTTCTCTTTCCTGCCCATCAAACCCATTTTAATGAGTTGTTCTTGCTCAGCTGTCTTCCTGCAATAAAGTCATTTCATCTTCCTCAAAATGTTCCTGTTCAGGGCTGACTGGCTTGGAAACTTAGCTTGTTAATCAGAATTCACAGAAGGCAGGTCCACACCCGCCCTCTCACTTTGACCACCTACAGATGTCGTGCACTCCTCATAGTCCATTCATTTGACTA